CCCAGGCATCTCCTATAGGTTTTCGGGGCCCAGTGATGTCCCAGCCCCTACAGATACAGATGTTCGGGGACCACTGATTGTCCGGAAGATGTTACTACTGTTCCAGAATACGCTCTTGCGCCTACATGTTGAACATATTTTCGTGGCCCAGAAATTTCCTGTATATGTTGTGGACGTGTTGCGGACACTTCCACTATGAATTCGGGGCCATAAATTTTCAGCGACCGCGGAGAATCCTGACAAATTTCGAGGCCTGGATTTCTACTGAAATTTCCAAGGCCCAGAGTTTTCCCTGTTATTTCCTTTGGTATTTTCTGTGCCCAGAGGCATCCCCAGAGATTCGCCGAAGATTGCTGGCCCCGTGGGCTCGGGAACGGTTTGTTACCATCGTCTGGAAGCTGGAACCGACCAGATCCCTCAGGCGTGCCCAAGGTGCGGGTCAGATTTTTGTCCATATCCACTGCGTCTTCGACTTCCTGGGAAGGGGTGCCAATAGGCTGGAGCGCAGTGGTCATGGACAAACATCTAGCCTCTAGGGGCCAGATTCTTACCCGTATCCAGTGCGCCTCTGGTTTCTGGGGAAGGGATCCCGAAACTCAAAGATGCAGTGGGTATGGATATACGTCTTGCCCGCACCAGGACGATCCCACAAACGACCAGCCAGGGAAAGGGAGGGAGGGGATGCATGGGGAGGTGAATGCGCGTCGAGGACACGGGAGGCGGGGAGGGCAGTGGAACGAAAACAGAGGAGGCAACACGGGGAGAGAGAGAGAGAGAGAGAGAGAGAACGGAAAAAGAAGAAGCCTAGAACACTAGTCACTGGACACTGGATCCGGTCGGCCGCGATCGGTAGCACCCGATCGGCACTTCAAGTCGGTCGAGACCGATTTCGCGACCGACTTCGCGAACGATCGGGCGCGAGCGACCCGTCGCGACCGATATTGAAGCACGTCGGTCGCGACCGAGACAAGGCTTTGACAGGAGGCACAATCTGGCATCCAACGATCAGGGGAAGAAAGGAGAGCGCGGGGGCCGGGTGACGCGACCGGGATGAGGCAGCGGAGTGGACGCCATGACGAGGGCATATCAAAGCAACCCTCTCCCCTGAACAGCAAGAACACCACGATGTTAAGGCCGAGCACCACTCCACTCCGAGACAAAATGACTGTTCACCATACTGCGCGACGAGAGGCAAGAGGAAGGAGGCGGGAAGGGAGGGAGGGCGGGGAGGGTTTCTGGCCCGAGGCTTGCGCGAGTCCATGCCCGTGGGAGGGCGAGGGCCAACCAAGGCGCCAGAAACGTGCAAAAAAAACCTCGAGCCTCTACCATCGAGCCTCCATCCTCGAGCCTTGCCGAGACGGGGCTCGCTGCCGAGCGGGCGGCCGACCAAGCGATGGTGCTCCAGTCGGGCCGCTGCACAAACTCGGGGCGTGCGGGACATACCCTGCATTCCCCTGCGCGTGTTGGGCGTCGCATCATGGGGGGGCGACAGACGGGGGCGGAGAAAGGTGCACTTTTCGGATCTTGAAGTTTTTGTTTGGTGCCCTAAAGGGCCCTTTTAGGGGCCCGAAAGGGCATCTTTTCTGCAGCCCTCGCCGCCCACCATTTATGGCCCCCTGCTACGCGACGCCCAAGCGTGAACCGGCGAAGGCACGCCGGGTGCTAGGAGAGCCCTCAAAACCAGCACCGGCTAAGTGCTCAGGAGGACCACGGACGGCGTCCCCCGCGCCTAACGAGTATCTGCGCTCACAGGCCAGAGGGCAGAGAAACAACAAAAATCCATAAGCGTACAGACACCATACGCCAGTACGGCGCGCTGGCCGAGAAAATGCAGGATGGGAGGAAGAAGGATGAGCAGAAGCAGGGGGAAGAAGTCGATGAGGAGGAGAGAGCTAGGAGGAGAAAAAAGGGAACGAGTACAGGGGAGGAGTGGGAGCAGAAAAGAGGAGGGAAGAAGGAGGAGCGGGCGGCAAATGGCGGGCAGTCCACGGCCAGCACAGGGAAGCGATATCAACCAGTGTCGAATATACCCCGCGAGTGCAGCCGAACATGTGATCAACAACTTGTCGTTTAAGAAATCTGGACCAGCCTCCCAGAGGTTTCTGAAAAGAAACCTGGGCCAATTCCTGTTGCTAACGCTGGAGGGGCGAACGTGCTCAACAAACTTGGCCAGCTTTCTGGCAAGATGGTTCAGAAACGCTGGCCCAGCTTCTCTGGAGGAGATTTTTTTAATCAGGTGCTCGACGGTAAGGAAGCTACAGTCATCGTGCTACGGAAGGTTCGTGTCGTGTCGACTTCGGCGCTGGGCTTCTGACATCTGACACCGCGGCGACCGTTCCACCTTGAACGTGCGGCCGTTTCAGAAGCGTCCGATCATTCAACATCGACCGATTGTGGGTCGCAGGCGGCGTTCAACGTTGAACGCTGCCAGCGGTGTCATCGCCAATCGACACAACGCGGACCTGCCGTAAAGCCATCGTGCCACCATAAGGAGCGCATGACAAGGAACGAAGAGGCTTTTCAGGCCACGGCGGGCCTAGGCCACAAGCAAGTTCCACGACACAAGTCTGAGGAGCGGCCTGGAAAACCGAGACCTTCCTGAACCAACAGCGGTCCTGATTTCAGTGTCCTGACCGTAAGAGCTGGAGCAGAAACAGGATCACGAAACACGTTTCTTCTGGCGCTGCTGTGGGAGAAGAAAGAGAAACAACTGAGAGGAATGATCGCCAAATAAAGCAGCTCGAGCGCGTCGGTGGGCCCTGCCCACTCTCACCCTATCTACAAACGCTGGCACAACCCAAACACATTGACCACCTGCAGAAGGCGCAGATGCTGCGATGTGTAAATTCTGAAACGACGCGAACGTGGAGTTAAACGCGCATGTCCGAGAGGACACGGTTGAGGAGCTGAAGTGAGGACTGTTTTGAACTCAGGAGGGGCTCTTGATTTCGGACCGGTCCTTGAGCCCATGTCGAGGAACATAATCGTCGCTGAGGCTCACCGTGTCAAGACAAGCCCATTCGGTATCCTTTTTCGGCGATCCTTGCGGTGGTGCGACAGCTGCATCCCCAAACCCTGGACCAATTTTGCTGGGGGTCCCGAAACAGTGCGGTGATGGGCCGCACGGTGACCTCAACACCGCACGCAGCCTCGTTCAGGCGGCGCGCCCAGGGGGGAAGTGAGAAGGGGCGGGCCTTCTCAGAAGCCTCGGAAGTTCTCTGGGCTTCTGCGAAGTAGTCCTAAGCCTTTCCTAACGAGAGCTTCTGAGAAGTCCCGCCGCCTTCTGTAGAAGCCTTCTTCTTCTCACTTCCCCCTTTCGCTCGCCATCGATCAAAACCTCCTACAGATACAGATTCGTCTAGATCAAGGGGGTATGGTGACCGAAGCTGTGCCCGAACATCCGAACGAGTGTGACCGAGACTGGCGCCCGATGTTTCCCAAACGCGCCAGAGGTGACCGAAGTTCTTGGTTCGATACCAATCGGCGGCGAGCGAGGGGGGGAAATGACAAGGAGATGTTCTCGGTAACCTCCTTGTTAGGTCTCATACCCTTTCGGCTGATAGGGGCTCGGCACATGAGAAATCCACGCAAACGTCATCGCACAATCCGTCACCGCACATTGTTTGAACTGTGGAGGCCCCGGTCGCGCAATACACATCCTCGAAGAACGACCCAAATTCCAGAACCGTGCGGTCACCCCGCATCCACACGGACTCACCACATGTTGAGGTCACCGCACCGTTTGGAGGCCCCCGATTACGGCGTGCGGCTACCCATCCGAAGCCAACGCGGCGTCGATCGCGGAAGTTCGCCTCGCTGTGAAGGCAGGCGTATGGATACGGTGAGTGCGTTGGCAGAGGAACCTCATGCGGAATCCAGGGTCTGGAAGCCGGTGGAACTCCAATCGTGGATTAGTCATGGATACAGTACTACCACCGCCCTCATGAGACAAGGACCCCCCCCAGGGTCTGAAGCCTCCTGGGCACATTCGTTGGCCAACGCCCCTGAGCCGAAGAGCCTCGCCTCCGGGTCGGCCTCGACGGCCTCTTGAGGGGTGCACCGATGGCCTGCAGGGGTCCCGCAGAGGTCCCCTGCAGGCCTCCTGGGGCCTGAGGAAGCCTCCAGGGGCCTGAAGCCTCCCTGGGACACAGTCCTCCAAAAACGCCCCCACCGTAGGCCGCAGCTCTCTGGGGCCCGTGAGCTTGACGTGCGGAGCGCTCGCGGGGCTCACCGCGCACGTGGCCGAGCCCTGAAGACCCCGAGCCCGAAAGCCAAGGGGCCCAGGGAAGCACAGACAAATCGGTACGGACCCCAGGATTGACAAAATTGTCCCATACCTTCTGGACTCCTCTCTTGCCTCCATTCCTAACATTGGATCCTCATGGAAATCAGCGGTTATGTGTGCTTCTGCAGATTTGGACTACGCATTCTCAGGCGCTCCCGCCTCTTTTCCCCTTTCTCGGCGTCCTGCTCCACTTCCCTGTGCCTAAAATTCGCTCCCGGCACGCCCTGCCCGTATAGCCCGACCAGCACCTGCACTGGATTCGATCCACTTGCGCTCGCTGTTTTAAAACGCGTGTATGATTTGCCTCAGAAAGTCATTAATGACCAAGGGAGGTCTTTAGTTTTGAAGTCCCCCCCCTGCTTCGCTCGGCGGGGAAGAAACTCCGACCCTCCTCCTCCTCCTGCTCTTTTTCTTCCTCCTCCTCCTCCTCATCCTCATCCTCCTCCCTCCTTCTTCTCTTCCTTCTCGTCGTCCTCCTCCTTCTAAATATTGGGGGGGGGTCTGAAGACCAATCGCGGTTAATCCACAATGATGGGAACGTTTTTTGTTTGCGCGGGCTCATTGGCCTGTTGGGACCTCAGCAGCAATGGGAACATAATTATCCCTCCACGCGGCGGCAACCGCTGATGCTCGCGGGGGACATGCGGACCCCTGATGGTGATGAGGATGATGAGGGGAAGGGCGAGGAAAGGAGGGACGATATTCATTGCTGAGGGGGCGAAGAACGCTATAACATAAACTTGTCCGCCGTCGGGGACGCCTGCCCCCAAGGCGGCTGGAAAAGTTGTACCCCTACGGTGGCACGTCAGAGTATGAACTGTCCAGCCGCCCTGGGACAAGCGTCCCCGACGTCGGACAAGTTTATGTTATACCGTCTCTGCGCAGGCTAAATCGCCAGCCGGAAGCTGAGGGGGGGGGGGGGGCGAGGACATCGTTGAAGCCCTCCTGAGGTTTTCGGGTCATAACCCGGCTCTCACGTGCCCGTTCGGGACGATCCCGGCACCCCTGGAACGCCCTCGGCGAGGCGCGGCCGCTGGAACGCATCCCAAGGGTGGAAAACCGCTGCGCATCGACGACAAACGCCCGAAAACCTTAGGCTTCTCGAACCTCGACGCCGCCCAAGCGCGCCGCCGAGATGCCCAAACACTTCCCCGCCCCCCAGGCTCACCGCAGGGATGAGCGTCGGCGTCTCGCCGTTGGGCCTGGCCCTCCGCCGGCGGGCCTGGCCTCCGCTCTGCCTGTGCCGCAGGCCCATCTGGCCGCTGGTCCTCTTCCGCTGGCCCCGGCGCCGACGTCGAGGCCCCGCCCCCCCCTGGAGATTTTTGTCACAGCTGTTCAGGCGTGATAGCGCATGATGGGGCTGTACCCCCCCCCCCCTTGAGAAAATTGGGCGCAAATTAGTGGGGGCGAGAGAGAGAGGTGCCCTTTCCGGGCCCTGAGGGCCCCCTTTCTGGGCCCTAAAAGCTCATTTAGGCCTTTAGGGGCCCTTTCCTCCATTCATCGCCCCTCCATTTTTACGCGTCCTCCGACAAAAAAACGCAAACATGGGATCCAAGGAAGGAAACTTAGATGGGGGGTGGGAGGAGGCTGCTTTTTGGAAGGCGCTTGCCTTACATCTACATACACGGCCCACGCCTTCCAACAAGCAGCCTCCTTCTAGAAAATGTCCCCCATCCCCCTACCCTCCGTCGCGTGTGGCCGAGGAACGGGCCTTACAGTCAACACTGACAGCAATAGGAGACCAAACAATGAAATGAACCGAAGAAGTCGGTGAAATCCGCGCGGTGTTTCCGGATCGGCGCTAGAACCCTCTCGCTGGCGCGCGGAGCGCGCAACTGGCGACCCGGAAACAAAATATAGATATGGGATCGGGGAAAAAAACCGAGTCGCACAGTCAACACTGAAACGGCCGAACATATTTTCAATGAACTAAACGTTTGGGACATCTGGGCCAGCTTCCCGGAACTTCTTGAGTGAAGCCTGGGCCAGCTGTTCCTGTTACGTAACGCTGCAACGGCGGACGTGCGCAAAAAACTGGGCAAGTTTTCTCGCAAGTGGGTTATAAAACGCTGGCCCAGCTCCTCTGGGGGAGGATTCTTAGTCAGATGCCCGACCGCGTTAAGGATGTGCGACAGGGGTGCAAGCCCCTTGGCCCCCCTGTGTTCAAGTTTTCTCGAGCGCGGCGGGACATCGGAAAAAACCAAGCATGGACCTAAGAGGGAAGGCTACCCATCCTTATTTTCGGATCCGACTGTCCGCCAGATGGCACAGCGACCTTGCGCGGTTGCTTACGCGGGCGGGCGACGCGGCACGTTGCGATGGAGAGGAGGGCGCGCACGCGTGACTTTGCGCGGGCAGCTTACGCGCGACGTTTCCGCCCGTCGCTCACATGCATACGAACGCCCTTCCTGATTCCGTGCGCACGACAGGCCAGCGGAAGCTGACCGCGCTCGTGTATGTAGATATCTAAGATTCGATTGTCACCGTCTGACTCCTCGAGCGCACGACCTGTCCTCGCACGCCGCAGCTCTCACTCGCGCGGCACGCTGCCCCCTTCGGAGCGCGGATCCCGCGCGCGGCCTGGCTCCGGTCCGACCGGGCCCCGCGGTCGCACAAACAAAAAAAAAAACACCGGGAACATCAGCGCAGCGCTGAGGCGAAGAGGGAGATCACCTTGAGAGGATCGCTCTGCCCTTTAGGCTATAATTTCCTGTTTTTGCTGATTTATATTTAAATTCTGTTTTGGTTGAGATTGGGTTCCTGGTTTTCTCCAAACTGTATCTTAGAAACTATACGTGTCATTGGTACTATCGAAGCCACATTTATGAATGCAGAGAGCACGATTGTGCGAACACTCTCGCCTCGGGCCTCCTCAACCGCGCGAGCCCGACGCTTTTGGGGACGGCAGCAACTTGCTCTCTGGGAGCGGTGATCACAGCTAAGCTTGTCGAGCCCGAGGGGAACGGGGCGCCTGCGAGGGCGTCGGTCGGCCCCCCCACCCCAGAGACCTCTGCGGGCCATCCGCAAGCAGCGTTCGGCCTCGAACGCCGCGCGCATCAAATTGCAAAAGAGGATGGTGAGGGCAGGGGGAAACAGCAGCGCAGGGACAAAAGGCACGGGGAGCGGCGAAAGCGGCGAAGGCGACAGGCTGGAAAGGAAGGGCATGAGAGAGCGGGAGATCATGGGAGGAAGGAGGGGAACGTGAGGACGGGCAAGGGCGGGGGGGCGGGGGCGGCGGAATACCGCAGGCAAGCAACGCGAACACTAACCAACGATCAGACCCATGCAGAGCCGGGCAAGCACCAATCGAAACACCAGCTCGAAGGACATCAAAACGAATGATCAATGACGGACCTGTGGAGGCCACGCCTTGTTTGGATTCATGCTAAGAGACTGGGCCACGACGCCCAGGACACTCATCCGTCGTGCGATGCATTTGCGCGTGCCTAGCCGCAGCCAGCTCGAGCGCATGACCTGTCGGTTGCAACAGCGTGAGAGGTCGCCGCCGATGCGCGAGCGGAGTCCCCTTCGTAGACGTCGGCAGCGCCGTCGCCTGCAACTGTCTGGTCCCAGGTGCTGGGGCGGCGATCCGACTCTAGCATGTCCAGCTACAATCGGGCCGATGATCTGTCCGAGAACTCGAAAACAAAGCCGGGGTTGAATCGTTACCCCGCGGGCTGCAAAGCAGCAGCTACGAATTCACCAGAGAGATGCGACACTCCGAGCACCCGAAACACAGCTTGCCCATCCACGACCCGCTTGACATGGTTAAGCGCATTCGCCTTTGACGTGGTAGCCCCGATTGGCTCGCGCACGACGCGGCCCAGGTTCTCAGAGTTCACCTTCGCCTCCTGCGCGCTGGTCGCGGTCTTCACCTTGGCCCTCTGAGCTGGCGGGATCGACTAGCAGAGTGCCATCGCGACGCCAGTGATGGTCGTCGCCCGCACTGTCTCGGGCAACGCCTGCGACGGGGTGGTCTCGCACTCGTGTAGCGCGACGCCCGCCTTGGGCGCCTGAGCTTCGGCCACGGCCACTGCGTTCTCGAGCTTCGCGCAGTGCGAGTCCAAAGCCGCGGGGTTGATGCGGTGGCCCGCCCCCGTCCGCTTCTTCGACACATCTGCAAATCCGGCGCCGCCGTCAGGGCAAGGCCGTCGCTCCAAGGGTTGCCGTCCAAGCCTCCGTGCACCGCGACCTTGAACGACAAGTTCGCGCAACCCTCGAGGTTCGCGTCCGCGATCAGCACCAAGGCGTCCTTGATCCGAGCCGCGCAGCAAGGCTTGGCATTCAGCGTAACATCGGCAAGGAAGCTCTGGATCCTTGTCACGTCGGGAAGATCCACGAGAGCAGCCCCGACCCTCTCCTCCAGCACCAGGTCAGCGGTGACCTTGAGCCTGTCCAATTTATCCATGGTGGGGCCGGCAATCGCACGCTCTTCTGGATCGCTTATAAGATCATGGTATAAGCTCAGCTCGACGACGCCGTCTGTGACAGCATCCAACAGCCGAAACCCGCCGGAAGCGAGCGCGACCTGCGACGGCGCCATGACATGCAACAGCTTCCGCATAAAGAGCAGCGCGTGGTCCTGGATGCACAAGGCGTTGTTGTAGCAGTCGTGCTTCTCGTTCCCCCGGATCGTCGCGATGATATCGTCGGAGACCCGCTGGGCTTCCACTGCCTTCTCATCGCCTGTCAGGCGATTCCCCTCGCCGCTGCAGCAAGCAATCACATGGTCTACCTTGTCCGACGCTCGCCTGCTAAATGCGTCGTCGAGCAGGCGATCGCCCGGAAGCTGACCAAGCCAAGGTGCCGACGTCAGCTTATTCACTGCGGCCTGGGGCGATGGCAATACCGCGTCTGCTGAAAGCAAGCCCTGGTTCCAAGAAGCCTTCGCGCCGTCGAGGTTGCTCGCGGCAGCCTTGCTCATGAACTCCCCGAAGCAGACGACGGCCTCCAGCACGGTGGACGACGACTCATTTGCAACAGACTTCGGCATCAGGATGCTTTTGAGGGCGCCCTGCATTTCCTCGGCGAAGAGGTCCGTGACGCGTCGCAGGTGGTCCTCCAATGTAATCGTGGAGCCATGGCGGGGACCCTCCTGCCACTCGCAGACGTTGCCGAAGGCCGTCGTCGCCGCAACCCTCTCGCCCTTCTTGTCTGCGGCGCCCTGCTCGGCAGCAACCGCCTTCGCGATGTGCTGGGCGATCCCCGAGTAGGTCGTGCGAGCCTGGCGGCAGTCGGCAATGAGCTTGGCCCCGACTGGTGTCTCCTTGAGGTTCGTGAGGAAGCCGTGCCCAGACTGCGCGATGTGCTGCTCGGGAGGGGTAGCCGTCGCCATCATCTCGGCGCAGTCGCCTACGCGCTCGACATTGGCAGGGGCCGGGAGGTAAATGAGACACCTGGCAAGGGATGCGCACCAAACCACTGCCTCCGCCGTCTAATCATCAGCCGCGCCAGGTTGGTTGACCAAGATGCCGTCCAACTGCTGCAACTTGACCAAGGCAGCGGCCGCGCGGGGGCCACTGGGGGCATCCACTGAAGCCCACAGCGGCTGCAGGCAGTGCTCGGTCAGGCAAGCGAACGCAAACGTGAGTCCATCAATGCTCTCGCCGACGAGGTCTGCGCCCTTCATGTCGAGGGCGTCGCGGAAGCTGTCGGCGGCGTCGGTCGGGCCGACATCGCTCCCATCCTGCCATGTCCGAACTATCCACGCGGACTCATCGATCCTGTCCTCGTGAAGTTCGGCAGCAGATTCCAGCGCCTTAACTGCCGTGTCAGCCAAGCGCCGTGCCAGGAGGTTCTCGATCGGAACCTTCTTCCAACTCGGCCCCTCGGCAGCAACGCCTTCGCCCGAGCCTCGAGCGCGTCGGCCTTGAGCGATGCTCACGGGCTCGCAGTGACTCTGCGTAGTCTGCCAAATCCAGACGAGCTTGGCAATTTAAAACAGTGGCCATTGTTATGACATCGTTCTTCTCGGCGACACCCTTCAGGGCATCCCTCAGCCACGCCCTGCGCTGGGAGAGGTTGTCCTCGCCGTTGAGGATCGCGGACAAGCCGACCACATTGCGCTTCTCGATCACTGGGTCCGTGGAGACAGACTCTTGGGGCGCGGGCCCGATGGCATTTGAATTCGCTCGAGTCCCGTCGCGCCCGCCCCGCCCCCAGCCCGCCCGCGACTGCGCAATCGGACCGGGAACGTGCCGGGAGAGGCGCGGAGGGCGCAGGACTCTAACGCCCTCCACGCGCATCGACCCACCCTCTGCCAAACATGCGTTCGCCCGACCTCCCGAGACCGAACCGCCGACCGCCGCGCCACCCGACCGCCAGACCACGAGCTGGAACAATACAAGCGCGTTTGGGTTTCGCAGTTTTTCGCGCGCAACCCCATGCGGGGCGCCAGGCGCCCTGCATGAGATAGCGCACAACTCGTTCGAGCTTGCTTTCGCGACCGCCCGATCGCCCGACGGTCGGTAGGTTCGGTGGTCTGATGGCCTGGCGGTCTGGGAGAGGGGTAGTCTGGTGGCTCGGTGGTCCGGCGGTCGCGTGACCCGATGGCCTGGCGGTCTAGGTGGCACGGCGCAGGGATGGTGAAGAAGTGCGGTGGTGAGGTGGTTTGGCGTCTCGGTGGTCGCGAGGTCGCGCGGTCGGGCAGTCGAGCAATGGGGCGGTCGGGCGGCTCGGCGGTCGGGCCGCCCGACCGCCCAGTCACCCGGCCGCGCGACCGCCAGACAAACCGCCCACCAGACCACAAGTCAATCGCCCGGTCGTCTCGGCCCCCCCCCAATGAATCCCCCCCTGGCTCCTGGGCGCAAGGGCTCAGGGAGCTGGCGCCGTCGTCGGGTGACTCCCGGCCCTTCTCCCCGGTCGCCGTCGAAGGAGCCGCGCGAGCCGCGGTGACCGATGCCGCTCGCCCAAGACGGACGCGCGCGTGGACAGGTGACGGCGCGCCCTCGCCACCTTCAGCTCCTGCGCGCACTTCGCCCCCAGGATGGGCGACGATGCCGGCCTTGAGCTCGTCGGTCTTCGCCGTGATGTCCTCCGTCGCGAGCCCGCGGGGCGCGCTGATGCGGGCCGTCTTGACCTGGGGCTAGGCGGGGCGATCGGCGCCCGATCCCATGCCCGCCACCTCCCCCCCTCATCCTCCATCGCCACGGCTTCTTCCATCGCCTTCTCCTCCTTCCCCCTGCCACCCCCGCCCCACCCCCGCCCCCTCGCGCCCGCGCCCGCGGCGCCTCCTCCGCCCCCTCGCCCCCCCCAACCATCCTCGCCCTCGCGCTTCCTCGTGATCCCATCCCCATGGGCCCCCTCGCCCCCCCCCCCCGAGCCCACCTCTCCACCCGCCCTTCGGGCCTCGGGGGGCTTGGCCTGCAGGGCGGCGCCAGCGAAGTTCCGGCATTGTTGCTTGCCCCACCCCCGCGGGCCTTCCAGCTCGGGGGCTCGGGCGCGCCCAATGGCACGCAGAAAACGCGAGCCCGGCGGCCCCAGGTCGAGGCCCCGCCCCCGAATGCCCCGCGAGGGCGACGGGGCGGCGATCGCAGCCGCCGCCATCGCCGCCACCACCGCCGCCTCTCCACGAACGGGGGGGGGGCGAGGGCGGGCGGCAAGCGCAGGGGGAAGGGCGGGAAGTGCGAGGGGGAAGGAGGGGGGGGAGTCGGGGATGGGGAGGGCGAGAGGGG